CCATTCTATCATCTAGCTACTCATTCACTAACCATCCATCCATCTGTTCATCCATCCATCTATCCATTATTCTATCATCTAGCTACTCATCCATTAGCCATCCATCCATCCATCCATCCATCCATCCTATCATCTAGCTACTCATCCATTAACCATCCGTCCATCCATCCATCCTATCATCTATCTACTCATCCATTAACCATCCATCATCCATCCATCCATCCATCCAATCATCTAGCTACTCATCCTTTAACCATCCATCCGTCCATCCATCCATCCATCCATCCAATCATCTAGCTACTCATCCTTTAACCATCCATCCGTCCATCTGTCTATCCATTCATCCATCCGTTATTCTATCACCTAGCTACTCATCCATTAACCATCCAGCCAGTCATCTGTCCATCCATCCATCCATTTTATCATGTATCTACTCATCCATTAACCATCCATCCATCATCCATCTGTCCATCCATCCATTCTATCATCTAGCTACTCATCCATTAACCATCCATCCATCTGTCCATCCATTGTTCCATCATCTGTCTACCCATCCATCCATGGGTCCATCCATACATCTATACAACACAGCTATCCCCCGGCACCCAGAGTGGTCTGGGCAGTGCCATGGAACCTCCTCCTGACTGAGGCCCCACATGTGCTGGAACAAAACTGTGCTCCAGAGGTTCTTCAGTGGCCGACTTTTTAGAAGTAAATCGCCAGGCCTTTCTTCCAAGGCACTTGCGGGTAGAACTCAAACGGGCGACCTTTCAGCTAGCAGCTGATCATATGAATCATTTGTACCACCCAGGATTCCAAATGTTTAACAACCAGCCTTTAAAAAAAAAAATCCCCAACTTTTCGTTTGTGCCAATTTTCATGGTGAAAATCCTTCCATCGTAGCCAATTTTAATACTCAGACAGGATGCCACTGAATGGGGAGCTGGGAAGACACACACACTTCAGCTCAGCATGTGCTGGGCCCAAGGCCCCTCCATCCTCTCAGGGATGCCCCTGACAGGTGGACAGCCGGTGCTACCTGCTCCCAGAGGGATGCTCAGAGGAGGAGCAGCAGACTGGGCAAGAGGTTCAGGGTGACCTCAGAGGTCTCCCAGTGAAGGTAGAGGGCAGGGCCTTTCCCGAGGTGCAGATGAGGGAGGGCCAGAGGGGCCTTGAGAGGGGCTGAGATGGACACGTGACAAGAGGTGAGGTTAGGGAGGAAACACAGAACCAAACAGAATAACTCTCAGGGGCATAGGAAAGGGCTGAATTGTCACCTGAAGATTTCTAGCAGGTCGGGGATGTAACCCAGGTGTGTTTTCCGACCTGGAAGCCGAGTGGGGAGCAGAAGGGAGCCAGGGGAGGCTGTCGAGGAGGTCCTACAGTGGTCCCGGCAGCTCTGCCTGCATCCTTGTCCCTGGGGCTGTGGGACTCACACAGCAGGCTGTTTGGGGAAGAGGAGATGGCAAGGAGTCCTCTCCCCCCAGCCCCTGCCACCCCCCAAGGTTGCTGTGTGCATCGAGAGAACCAGGGGGTGAGCAGATTCGGGCTGGGGGACATGCTGCAGACATGTGCCCATGAAACATTCCAGGCCCGTGTCCAGCAGACTGTTGGTCTCGTGGAACCTGTGTCCTGCCTCTGTCTGCACTGAGCAGGGCCCCACAGGAGGAGGGTGGGCACAGGCATGAGGCCTTGGGGACATACTTACCCACCCCTTCCTACCTCTCGGATTTGGGGCTCACATTCCAGAAGAGTGGTGTGGGAGTGCAGAGGGTAATCCGGAGGGTGGGGGTGGTCAGAGAGGCAGAGGGAGGCCAGGGCAGGCGATGACTGCTCATTGCTCAGTGTCTGGGTCTGTCCTGTCACTCCAGATACGTGTCCACGGACGGTTTCTATTTATAAGTGACTGAGGGCGACCGTTCCAGCCGAGGAGGCTGGGGGCGGGGCAGGGGTGAACTCAGATGTGGTCTTACCTTACCTGGGGACTCACACACTCCTTGGGGAGTCTGCTGGCACCAGGGCTCATTTCCATGTGCAGGCTGTCACTGCCGGGTCCGCTCGGACCCTCGGTGACCCTCGAATGACAGCCTTTTTCCAGGAGCAGGCGGCCCGGCCTTGCTTCCCACAGTCTTGGGTGGGCTCGAACCACCAGCCTTTTGGTCAGCAGCTGAGTGCTCCACCAGTGCGTTACCA